AATTAAATGAACTTTTTTGGATTTCAGTAGTTATACTAGATATTTTTTATATAATTCTCAGTAAAATGTTGGAACATGGTTTCCTCTTCCTTTTTTTTTTTATGGATGAGAGAAACTGAAGCTAAAGGGATTAAATTGATTGCTTTGTATCACAGAGAATTAGTATGTAGTACACATGAGATTTGAGCCCGTATCTTTCTAGTTTCAAAATGCATTCTCTTTGTACTCTACTGCAATATGTAGTTAATTTCTTGTTGCTGGTATTAACACAAAAGGACAGGGGAGGGGGCAAATTAATGATAAAAATCTAATTAGACTTCTATTACTAAATACATTTTTATTTCTGTTTAACATGGGCCAATTTTTTTAAAAAAATAGGCAATGATTTGGGAAAGGACGATGCCATCGGAGGGAATGTGAACAAATATATGGTGCTTCCAACTGGATACTGTGGACAGCCCAAGAAAGGACATCTTGTCTTTGATGCTTGCTTTGAGAGTGGTGAGTGTATTAAAGGCCTTTGCTTTTGATCTTGTCTGGTGAGGGTTTTTTAGAATCTATTCCCACCTAAATGTGATTCAGTCCATTTAATATTTCACCAGAATGAAACAAGCTGTCAGAGGAAAATCAATTTTGATGGGATTAACTTGGAAATACTTAAAATGAGATGCGATGTTTTTTTTGCTATAAATTATTAGAAATATACAGGTAATAATGGTGAACATTTGTATAGTATCTTATATTTTATAAAGTACTTATCTAGATCTTATTTGTCTGGGATAGAACTAATATAATTTGACTGACTATATGGTAAATCAATTATTGAATATTTATTATATCTGGTTTTGTATGACATTCACACAGAACTTAATTATTGTGAGACAGGAGGCTTTTCTGTAAAGAAATGATGAGAGAACAGATTCTATTGAACACAAACAAAACAGCAAAAGTAATAATGCATCATAATCAATAAATGCTTGTGGGTATCCTAAATGGGGAGATCAGGACTTGATTGTGAATTCCCATCCAGTAGGTATTTGATCTTTTTAAAATTTTTATGCCCTGAACCTCATATTCTACTATGAATAGCAAACAGTATGTATTCAGAATATGTTGAAAATATTAATGAGAAAAGTAACATAATTTCATTTTTAAAATAATTAATTTTATTGATTTCAGAGAGGAATGGAGAGGGAGAGGGAGAAAGAGATAGAAATATCAATGATGTGAGAGAATCATTGATTGACTGCCTCCTGCATGCCCCACACTGGGAAACGAGTCTGTAGTCCAGCCATGTGCCCCGGCCAGGAATCCAACCATGACCTCCTGGTTCTTAGGTTGACACTCAACCACTGAGCCATGCTGGCTGGGCATTTTTGTTTTTGAATAGTGTGCATGCATGTGCGTGTGTGTGTGTGTATGTGTGAAGGGATATGCCAGCTCTCTGAATCCTATGAACATCTGTTATTTATACCAGCTATTGAAAACTTGTTTATCCAGAGGTTTGCTCTTAGTTTACTCCATGTTGTCTTAGTTTGCTAGGGCTACCATACATAACAAAGAGCCACAAACTGAGTGTCTTAAACAACAGAAATTTATTGTCTCACAGTTCTGAGATCAAGGTGTTGTCAGGCTTGGTTCATTCTAAGGGTTTTTGGGAAGAATCTGTTCTATGCCTCTTCTCTAGCTTCTGGTGGTTTGCTAGCGATTTCTGTTGTTCTTTGGTTTGTAAAAGCATCACCTTAATTTATGTCTTCATTTTCACATGATGTTCTCTCTATGTGTATGTCTGTCTCTAAATACTCTCCCCATTTTTTTTATAAGGACACCAGCCATATTGGATTAGGGCTCACACTAATGACCCCATTTTAATTTGATTACTTCTGTAGAGACCTTTTCTCATAGTAAGGTCTCATTATGAGGTTCTGGGGAGTTAGGATTGAAACATATGAAGTTTTCTGGGGACACAATTCAACTCATAACACAGAATTGTAGTGTTGTCCTTCCAGTCAGATATGAGCACTGTCTACACTGTTAGGAACAATGTTTCCTACTTTTTTTGAATCTAGTATTATTATCTTATCCAGGAATTCACTTGGTGCCTAGAAAATACTTTTTGAATTCTTTTTACTTTAGGGTAAGGCAGTGGTTCTCAACCTTCTGGCCCTTTAAATATAGTTCTTCATGTTGTGACCCAACCATAAAATTATTTTCGTTGCTACTTCATAACTGCAATGTTGCTACTGTTATGAATCGTAATGTAAATATCTGATATGCAGGATGGTCTTAGGCGACCCCTGTGAAAGGGTCGTTCGACCGTCAAAGGGGTTGTGACCCACAGGTTGAGAACCGCTGGGTTAAGGTGTGATGGGTTTTTACAATAATTCTATGAGTAGGAATTATTTTATACCTACAGTATGAAATAATCCAGATTCATTTTCTATAACACCCTTTCCTTCACTATACTCATCTTTTTCCATCCCTTACCGAAAAGCTCAGTACAAGAAATTGCCCATCTGACCACAAAGTAACTAAGTGAATAATGCATATTTCTCCCCAAATGTATGAACAGTTGGTTATATCAACTGGATTTGTTTTAGCAGTGCATCAGTCTTGCAGTATAGTAGAGTGGCTAAGTGACACCCTCTGGAATCAGGCTGCAGTTCAAATCCTGACTTGAATCCTGGGTCACGGTTTCCTCATTTGTAATGGTGAATGACGCCTACCTTATATCTTAATTGAAGAAAAATAAATATATATTTCATTGTTTAAAAAAATTAAGCCCATTTTACTAAAATATATACACAATAATAAATATTTAAAAATGGATAAATGAGGAGATATCATAAAGGGGAAATAGCAAAAGAAAATTCAGCTGGATGAGTACATAAAATGTATGCTATGAAACCCATAAATTTGCTATAGATAGGTTACAAGTTTAACTGTGACTTTTCTGGCAGCCAGTTAATAAGATAAAAATAAATCAGGTACTGAGATCTGGTAGAAACCCTTCCTAATGAGCTTCCCAAAGCATATACTGAAATATGATGAATAGCATCCTCAACAGTATCCCTATGGTCTCTACAACAGTATGTTTCATAGAGGTGTATTTTGTAACATCCTTCAATATAGGATGAGGGCATAATGCTAAAGGGCATTTTAGTAAAAGCAATTCAGTTACCACTTGAAACAATTTGTTTGATATATGCAGCCTTCATTTTATCTATCTGTTTATTTATTTTTCCTTTTTATTGAATTTATTGGGGTGAGACTGGTTAATTCAAGGATTAATTTGAGATTATTTAAAACAGGAAAGTCAGAGGGCTTTTATTTATGTGCTAATTCTGAGCTACTGGCTGTGGTTTCCTGGTATGCTGTGTTGAAAAGGATTCTGTAAGTGTATCTGGACTTACTGGAAAGGAGTTAGGTGATTAATAGATTCAATAATGGGGAGTATTGACTCATATAGATTAAGTATATTCCTTTCAGGTAATCCTCCATAAAATTTTTTCTCCGTTTGGAGTTGTTGGATTTGTGAAGTGCCTAGTACGTTTCCTGGCCCTGAGATAATGGATAATTAATGTTTTTCTTATGAGAAATGAAGTCTGCAGGTCAAATATGAACTTTCCTATGAATCCCTGATCTGTTTTTTTCCATATACACCTCCTTATAAGTATATTTCCCTTGAGAAAATAGCCATACCACTCTAATTTTATTTTCCTAGAGATATTTGAGACTTTTTATGATTTTTAAAAACTTCTTTTGTTCTCTTCTATTAGTAACCAGCTTTAGGACAGAATATGAGTCTGATTAATCCCTGTTCTTCCACAGAACCAAGCAGAGTGCTTACAAAATTAAGCACTACATTAATACTGTATTTATTTATTGAATGAAGTAATTTGAGCAACAGAAAGATGGGGAAAGATTAACTTTCCAGTAGCTTTGATGAAAAAGTTATATTTAATTGCTGCTTATTTCCTAATCCACCAACTTCTCTGAAGTTTTTATACCTTTGCAGATACTGTTTTCTTTACCTGGTAAAATGTTAATTAAGACTCAGTCCAGCATTTCTTCCTTTGAGAAACAGTACATCTCAGGCAAGTTTGGCTATCTGTATCTCTGTATTTACAATCACCTCTTAAGCTATTCTCTGATAGCCCTTATTGCATTGCAGTCATTTAATTGTGTTTCTTTTTCCTTATCACTAAAAGTGCCTTGAATTCAGGGATGGTTTCTTATTAATTTTTTCTCCCAGCACCTAGTATACTATCAGTCATTTAATAAGGAACTTGATAAATATATGAATAAATGAGGGATGACAGAGAATGAACAAAATAATCTTCATAAAGTGAAATTTTAAGATTGATAAAAATATTTTACATTTATATAAAAAATTAACAGCAAAAAGAATATTAAGGAAAAAACAATAAAAATGATCACTTATTTATTGCTTGCCAGATACTATCATAAGTGACATATACATAGCTTATCTCATTTAATACTCACAAAACCTTCTGAGGTGTTAAATCTCTCTCTATAGGTTTGGAAACTGATGTTCAGAAATGTAAATCTGTTTACCTTGAAGTGCATGACTGACAAATGGTGTAGCTGAATATGAAACTGAGAATTTTCTAGCTCTAAAGGCCATACTTTTAACCATTATCTATATATATAAAAGCCTAAGTGACCAAACGATCGAACGACTGGTCAACTGGTCGCTATGATGCGCACTGACCACGAGGGGGCAGACGCTCAACACAGAAGTTGCCCCCTGGTGGTCAGTGTGCTCTGACAGCGGGAGCGCCGCTTAGCTGACTGACTGGTGCCAGACGCCAGGCTCATGGCTGGCAAGTGCAGCTGCGGTGGCCCAAGCCTCTCCTGCCTCCACGGCAGTGCTACCACACAGCAGCAGTGGCAGGCACAGTGGGGCCAGGATGAGCGTCAGCGGCATGGCACCCGCCTGGACTTGGACTCTTCCCCGGCCGCCTGCCGCTTCCTGCACTACATCCCTAAGGGAATGTCGGACTGCTGGCTTTGGCCAGATCCCCGCCGGCCAGATTGGGCAGAAACCAGCAGTCCAACATCCCCCGAGGGGTCCTGGATTGCAAGAGGGGATGGGCCAGGCTGAGTGAGCCTGAGATATTTAATATGTTGTTTAAATTACTGTTGAAAGCAGAAGGGTCAGTGAAATAAAGGTATGGGTCAGTATTTGCATACTATTTCAAAAAAATGGAAATAAAAAATTAAAACTTTTAATTCCTCTAATGGAATTTACTATTTCACTTGTGTATTCTGTAAAAATTAACATTATGTTTCCTTTTGATAGAAATTATCTTCATTCATGGCACAGTATGAAAATGTGTCAAGACTACATTAGAAACCAGGGTTTTTAGCTTAATGTCTTACCTAAACTTTTCTTTGTTTAGATGTCTAAATGGACTTTATGAGGAATAATTGGCAAATATAAATGTATATATTTAAAGTATACAATGTGATGATTT